GTATCCTGTATCCTGTATCATGTACCCTGTATCATGTTTCCAGTATCCAGTATCATGCACCTAGTATCATGTACCCAGTATTTAGTTTGTATATATGTATGAAGCCAATTTTTTTACAGATTGATTCTTGCTGAAGAAGTTTAAACCCTCTTACATGAACTGAACACAAAGGACAATGAATGAAAGATTGAATTTTAATGTTTTAACGGATTGGTTTAAAAAAATGTACGGATTGTACGGATTTAAAAAAAAAAAATTGTACGGATTGTACGGATTTTTTTTCGAAAATTGTACGGATTGTACGGATTTCTTCTGAAAATGTACGGATTTTTGTACGGATTTGTTCAAAAAAGTTTTGGCCACCCTGTATCTTAGGAAGGATATCAGAGAGGTATCTTAGGAAGGATATCAGAGAGGTATCTTATGAAAGATATCAGAGAGGTATCTTAGGAAGGGATCAAAGAGCTATCTTAGGAAGGATATCAGAGAAAGGATATAATCATAGATAAATAAATAAACATAGATAGCTTATGTATGCAAAATCACCAAGAATTGTACAGTCCGCGAACTCGTACTTCTAGGGGTCAAAGTGGACTTCAATGATAAACGGGGTGGTTTGGTGTTTAATGGATTTCATAATAGAGTGTAAAATAACTCCAGGAATGGAACTATTTGAACAACATTATTTCACTGAGCAATATATCATATTAACGAGAACTGAAGAAGGACATGAGAAGGACTAAACTAACTGAAATTTCTCTCTACAGAACTCATGTACATTGTACACCACAAGTACTCAATGACATAAGAACAGCCAATGTTCACAACCGACCTAGTTAATCTATATAATAGGAATATCTTTAAAACATCTCTGTACATTTATATCTTTCAAGATGAAAAATGTCGTCTTATGCGCAATCTATCTTTATCTATGGATATAATAGAGATATCTTAGGAAGGATATCAAAGAGATCTCATAGGAAGAATATCATAGAGGTATCTTAGGAAGGATTTCATATAGGTATCTTAGGAAGTATATCAGAGATGTATCCTAGTAAATATATATCAAGGAGATTTCTTAGGAAGAATATCAGATAGGTATCTTAGGAAAGATATTAGAGAGGTCTTAAAGGAAGGATATCAGAGAGGTCTCATAGGAAGGATATCAGAGAGGTATCTTAGGAAGGATATCAGAGAGGTGTCATAGGAAGGATGTCAGAGAGGTCTCATCTATAGGAAGGATATCAGAGAGGTATCTTAAGAAGGATATCAGAGAGGTATCTTAAGAAGGATATCAGAGAGATAATTTGGGAAGGATATCAGACTCAGAGATTCCGCAGATATGCATTTTTATGAGATAAGACTGGTAGAAAGAGTACCACATGAAAGGTTAGGGCGTATATATCAGAAATGGCTCATTAGTAAAATCTTAATCTTATTCCAAATTTGAACTATGTATAAAAGAGTGCTCCAAAAGAAGATTTTAAAAGCAAAAGTATGATATTCAACACAGATGCTCACTGCTTCCAAGAGAGATTCCATTCACATTAAAATAATTCTATGTGACTGAAAATATTTTAATTTTCCTAATTTGGATTTAAATGAATAATTTCAAGTTTAGGGTAAAGGAGCCCAGCTTCCATCATAGCTACACTAAGATGCATACCACGATTGATTTCGGTCGGAAAGAGCCTTACTCTACCTGCTTTCCCTTCACGTCTGACCGGAAGGAGGTCACCGCCCCCTGGGTCATTCCGGCGATCTTTGACCCTAACCGGAGAACGTTTAATGCCAGGTAAATAGACGCCTTGGATTTTATATTTGGATTTTATATCGATAAATTAAACAGAAATTTCAAAAACAACAATATCAGACATTTAAAATTAGGACATTTTGTCAAGAAGTTTTGGTTTAAATCCGAAAAGGAAATTTAAATGGAGTGACTTTTAAAAAGTGTTTTCTTATACACGATCGTCTTCTTGCAATGTATATCATTGTAATTTATTACAGTGCAGAAGGTTTTATGACTAGACAGTGGACAGTGGACACTGAACAATAATGTTACTTAAGAAAAATTTGAGTTAAAACTTTTTGTACAGTCATAACCTGAAAGACCCGGAAATAATTGACAGTTAATCAGAGACCGAATTTAAAGAATTTGAGCCGTGGCTTAAATTTAAGCCGCGGCTCAAATATGGTTGGTTTCACTTTATTTTCAATTTTTCAAGAATTAAGCCGTCGCTCGATTGAAACCGGTTTTTGTTTGATTTGAGATGCGGCTTATATTATTTAAATTCTGACACAGGCAACTTACATATCTTAGGCAATTTTAAATGCTCAAAAAGGCTACCACATTTTGAAAATGGCTGGACTAGGGCTATTTAGTATTTATAGATTATCTGTTCATTAATTCCGGGTCTTTCTCATTATGACTATGTAAATAAAGAAATTTTACCGTTTAAATTGTTTGTAAAACAATGCGGAACATAAATTAAAGGATGTCTTTTATATTTTATCCTTGTTGTATAGCCTAGGACCTGCTGGAGGACGGCGAGGTTACAGCGGGAGGACAGGGTTACCAGCTAACAGCCTCGCTTGGTATATTGAAGGCAGGGTTTCAACACAATTTTGTTTACACATTGTTTGAACATTTGTAGTTGAATACCAGTTTTCTACAAAATTTAGACTTTTGATGTGTTGACTGTGATTGTTGAACCCTGTTTCCAGGTTACATGATTCCTGAACTCTATCTGAGGAGAGGACTCACATATACTTTCAAGGTAGAGTTAAAGCTAGAAGGGGTTAAAGGGATTAAAGGGACTGCAAGTGTTAATTTCAAGTAACTCCCCTTTTTAATGAAAAAATGTCAATGCCCAATTTACATCGATACCATTAAAAGCTTTGACTGGTCAATTTTAAAATTAGATTATTTTCAACTGTGGGTTTCCTACAAAAGTGCATTTCTACTGCAGGAAAACATTTAGGAATTAAAAGGATTTAACACTTAAACCTAGAAAATAGAAATATATTTATTCAGATTATTAATATTCAAATTAAAGTTTGAAGGGTACCATTGTAAATGGGTTATTGCTCTCTTTACATAACAAATATTAGACGAGGAAATATTCATTATGTTTTATGAGATTAAGGTTGAAGGGGACCTGACTCGGGCATACTACTTGTTAAACAGGGTTACTTGAACTTCAAGAAGACGTTTTTCGAAACTAATAATTAAAAAAGGGTTGGTTGAAAAAGGGGGAATGGTGGGAATTACTATTGATTAAAAATCCCTGTGAGTTAAGATTAAAGGTGGGAATAATCCCAAGACTACTGATTAAAAAGAAGAGTAGGATGGGTATTACTATTAATGATAAATCCCTGTGTTTAAACTGAAAGTGGGAATAATCCCCAAAGCAGAACAGGGAGGAGTGGGGATAACTTTTAATGATAAATCCCTGTTTTTCGAGATGGGAGAAATCTAAATAGTACTAATTACAGAGAAGAGAATTATGGGAATTACTATTAATGATAAATCCCTGTGTTTAGATTAAAGATGGGAATATTCCCCAAAGTGCTGATTGCAAAAAAGAGAAGGCTGGGAATTACAATTCATGATAAATCCCTGTGTTCAGATTAAAGGTGGGAATAGTCACCTAAGTGCTGATTGCAGAAAAGGGAGGCCTGGGGATTACAATTTATGATAATCCCTGTGTTTAGATTAAAGGTGGGAATAGTCCCCAAAGTGCTGATTGCAGAAAAGGGAGGACTGGGAATTACAATTCATGATAAATCCCTGTGTTTAGATTGAAGGTGGGAATAATCCCCAGAGTGCGGAGTTCTATCATCCCTTTATCATCACTGATGAACCTGTTGGTGGATACTCCAGGCTTACAGTTGAACAGAAGGAGAATGTTCGAGTCCTGGCAGGGTTGGAGTTTAGTTGGTGAGTTTAAGGACAATGTTAACTTTTTATATGTAATAGTCAGTGATTTGGAGTCATAGATAAATAAACATAGATAGCTTATGTACGCAAAATCACCAAGAATTGTACACTGTACAGTCCGCGAACTCATACTTCTAGGGGTCAAAGTGTACTTCAATGATAAGCGGGGTGGTTTGGCGTTTTAATAGATTTCATAATTATAAAACTACTCAGGAGTGAATTTTATTTTGAGAATATCAAATTATGGACTAAACTAAGTTAAATTTCTCTCTTCAGAACTCATGTAGAGTGTACACCACAAGTACTCAATGACATAAGAACAGCCAATGTTCACAACCGACGTAGTTAATCTATATAATAGGAATATCTTTAAAACATCTCTGTACATTTATATCTTTCGCAATCTATCTTTATCTATGTTTGGAGTTTACGGCATCAGACTAAGGGACAATTATCTCACTAAATAGCATAATATAAACACTCCACAGCATTTAAATATTTGCTCACAGCATAAACTCGCTAATGGAACGAGTTCAGACCGGTTTCATGGCTCAAATTATATGGGCTAGACCAGAGATCTTTTGGACAACTTCTATTTATTTGATTTGTTTGAACGGCTCCTTATTAATAAACAAATATTTTGTAAGTACGTAAATAATCAAGCTCTACACTTGATCTCATAAACTAACTGAAACCAAATTTATTGAATTTCAAGAAAAAAGTTGAACTACGTAAACTCAATTCAACCAATTCTCTTTCACTTGAACCGGCGAACAATAGGATTGACTAAACCACCTCTGTTTAGTTTAACCTCTTCTTGCTATTCATTAATTCTGGTTTTTCTACTTTCTTTTTAACTTAGATCTCTGATGTCGGAGTAAGAAGCTCCAGTCTAGTTATTTAGCAAGATATTTATTTATTCAAGTAAAATTTGAATTATTTTGTTCAGGCGTGGATTACCGACGAAAAAAACTGCAGGCCGTCTTTGTCAATGGTCACACAGGTTAATTTATTTTTATTTTTAAAGTAATGACAAGTAATAATTATAAGTGTGTCATCACTTTTTATCTGATAAGATTATTGATGCTCCCACATTACTCAAAATCTGAACGTTCCATTCACATGAATGAATTTTTGTTCAGACGAGACCGGGATAAAAGACGAGATGACGAGTTCAATACATTCGAAAGTTTCAGGAACTCTCTAGAGTTCCAGTGTGACGAGGGGGATCCAGGGGTACTCCAGGTAAAGGGATTGTATAGGAGGGGGATCCAGGGCTACTCCAGGTAAAGGGATTGTACAGGAGGGGATCCAGGGGTACTCCAGGTAAAGGAATTGAATAGGAGGGGGATACAGGGGTACTCCAGGTAAAGGGATTGTATAGGAGGGGGATCCAGGGCTACTCCAGGTAAAGGGATTGTACAGGAGGGGATCCAGGGGTACTCCAGGTAAAGGAATTGAATAGGAGGGGGATACAGGGGTACTCCAGGTAAAGGAATTGTATAGGAGAGAATCCAGGGGTACTCCAGGTAACGGGATTGTATAGGAGGGGGATCCAGGGGTACTCCAGGTAAAGGAATTGTATAGGAGGGGGATCCAGGGGTACTCCAGGTAAAGGGATTGTATAGGATGGGGATCCAGGGGTACTCCAGATAAAGTGATTGTATAGAAGGGGGATCCAGGGGTACTCCAGGTAAAGGGATTGTATAGGAGGGGGATCCAGGGGTACTCCAGGTAAAGGAATTGTATAGGATGGGGATCCAGGGGTACTCCAGGTGAAGGGATTGTATAGGAGGAGGATCCAGGGGTACTCCTGATAAAGTGATTGTATAGAAGGGGGATCCAGGGGTACTCCAGGTAAAGGTATTGTATAGGAGGGGATCCATGGGTACTCCAGGTAAAGGTATTGTATAGGAGGGATCCAAGGGTACTCAAGATAAAGGGATTGTATAGGAGGGGGATCTAGGTGTACTCCAGGTAAAGGGGTCATATAGCAGGGGGGGGGGGGGGGGTGTTCAGGGGTACTCAAGGTAAAGATTTATAGAAAGGGGGATTGTGATGTTTTTTCTTATAGTCTCTTTTTCAAACAATATTTATACTAGCTAGGAGACAACTAACTATCTCTCCAACGATAAATACTATTCAAGTCCAAGGCTATAAGTTTAAACAATCATTCTTAGTTTTAATAAATAGGTTTTTGCTAAATGGGTTTTTATTTATAATGATGAGTTAATACTAGGGCTAGGCCCAGACTAACTGAAATATATACAGTTTTACAGGTTTATATAGTCTAGAACATCTGGTAACATAATTTTGGATATTTGCGCAGTCGCAGGATCTAGGTGTACTCCAGGTAAAAGGGATTTTAATGTTTTTCTATTCCTAGGTTAGTCCTAACCTGACGTGGCCGGATACAGTTTACTACCACTCCTACACCACCCCCTACATGGGATACAAGATCAATATTGTGGATAACTTCAGAGAACGACCTTCCTTTGCTTCAGCTCAGGGTATCCTTCCAACCCTTCTCCTAGTCCTACTTGCCACTGTCATTCATCTATAATCGTAGTTTTTATTTTATTTTATCGACCTTCTCAATACTGTTCATGTTCTTTCCCTCTCCTCCTCTTCACAAAGATGATCTTGGTTCTACAGGATTTTCTAGATTCCTGTTCACAATTACCCACTATGGTGACCAAAAAACTGTGGAATTCTGTCGTATTTGTTTTCTGTTTCTATTAAGAAATGCCGATATGAATGTTGTCAGAAAGTAATTGTTTAGCTAACATGTTTTTTTAATAATCAGTTGTAAATTACATAATTCTTAGCGACAATTTATAATTTAAGAAAGAAGACGACTTTCAATCCACTGTTTTCTGGCTAATCCCATAGTTTTTAATTCTTATTTACATTCACTAGTCTTGTATTTTCACATTTTATTTATTGACTTTTTACAGCACTGCAGTACACTCTGTGCGTACTGCACCGTACACATTTACATGTATGGGTCTGTTATATGAATTTTAACTTTTAGATAAACCATTGAATAAAGTTGTAAAATAAACCTGTTTTTTAATCGTTTGAACTAAATGTATTTCAGATAATGTGTAGATATTGTACAATGTACAAGTGTGCAAGGATAAAATGTATCTGTACAATATTAAAACAAACTGAACAAAAGGTGAGTGAATTGTGTGAAAATATCTATTCTTATACTTGCTTGTCTGTCAGTCTGTTTGTATCCAATAAACGGCTGAACCGATCGGGCCCACATTTGGTGTTGGACCTCACATGACCCCAGGGAAGGTTTATGGATGCTGAAAATGTCCAAAATTATGTCCAAAAGTTATTGATTTTTGAAAATTCGCGAAACAATATTAGTTTATCCGCGAACTTTTTGTTCGTTATTTTATTCGGTACAAAGAGAAGATGCTCACAGAAAGAGCCAAAAATAAAAGTATAAAGAGAAGATGGGCCCTAAAAGCTTAGTACTCTGTACAGGGTGTCCCACTAAGCTTTATTTTGAGTATAGCTTTCTAATGACAAATTGTTTACCTAAGATAAGTTGCGTGACTAAGCTTCACATTATATGTGATATACGAGAACTCCTGTGTATCTTCATCAATGATAAAAAATTGCACGGTAAACCCATTCGATGTCTTATTTAACTAATAAATTAATGAGTATAAAATTATTGCTTTAAAAATCCTACTTTTAACATGTACATCGTTTCAAATTTTGATAATATGGACTTTTTTGGATGAAATGTAAAAACAGAAATTTAGATTAAGCAATGTACAGTCTACACTGCAGTACACCCTTATCTTTTTTTTTACAAAAAATGTTCTGCTGGTTCAGGGGGATTAATGTAAAATTCTTAAGCGATAATTTAATATTAAATAATACCTTTGATCCTGTATGCGCAAGGATGGGAATCAATCTGCAATCTTAAAAATTCATCTTAATAATATTTAAGTTTTACTGTTACTTGGACCGAATTCTAGATATTGATGGAATCGAGTTAAATTAAGAAACTGTAACCAGTTAAAAGAGATGCTTATAAAATCATAAAAAAATAGAAAATAGTGTTTTAACTTCAGCAAATTGGTTTTCGTAATTGATGGAGAATGGGAGCATTTGTCAGATAAATCACAGACTATGTCTGAGACACGCTTGGATTGAAAGATGGAGCCCTAAAATGTATCCAGAAGAAATTCTGTGTCTATACATTCTTTGGAATGTATATTATATCACATCCGTTCGCTTCCATAGTAGTAGACCTATCGTGTAAGAATTCACATTATTACACGGTTCAGGAGGAAAAATTTTAATATTGTTCGCTTTCTAGCGTTTAAGAATGCTTATTCTTACACAGTAGGTGTAGAATTTTCATTCTTCAACGCTCAGGCCGTGTAAGAATGGAAATTATTACACGGTCAGAGCGTGAAAGAATGTATATTCTTACACGCTCCGAGTATTAAAGAATGGAAATTCTTACACTAGTTGAAGAATATTTATTCTTACACGCTCCTTATATTGATCTTTTTAACATAGATCAATATTGAAAAAAACTTAATTATTTTGTACTGACAACATGCACAAGGCACACTCACCTTTTTCTTTTATATAAATACATGCAAACTTACCTTTTTATACTTTAAAATAACATGCTCACTTACCTTTTTCGTTAATATTAAAACATGCAAACTTACCTTTTTTACTTTAGTAAAACATGCTCACTTACCTTTTTCGTTTTTTGAAGTTTTGATATACTAAGCTTAATTCAGTAATATCCATTTAAATCTCAACCCTAGTCCTGTGTCTAATTAACATTTTCTGAAATTCTGACCTTTCCAAATAAATGGACAATGCTTTAAGCCTTACATTGGACATTTTTATCCAACTGCCGAGTCTCAAAGACTGCCTACTATTTTGCAAATCTCTGAATACTTGTAATAGTACAGTCAGAGCTTTTCAAAAATGGAAAGGTTGTCATGTCTTCAAAATTTCAATCAATTGTTTTTTCACTTTATATTAAAAAGGGTCTCCAAAATTCCAAATTCATTTGTAATTATTAAAAAAATTAGACAGAATAAAAAGGTTGATTTGTTCCCCACCCCACAGCTAAAACTAGTTTTAAGGTACCTCAGTCTGAGTCAGTCGTCACCATATCTCGCATAGCTCGAGATGATGAAGTGAAACCACAATCAAAACCAAAAAAAGTTTATTTTATAAAAACTTATCATTGAAATACTAGTGCCACAAATTTTTAATGGGATCTTAGCACTCCATAGCAATGAAAACAAACCAGTAAATCTTGCTTCATGAATAAAAGACAAAGATCTTCATCAGTTGATGTCGAACTGATTCTTCTTAGATAACCTGCTTTTATCTCCTCTTTTTGGAAGATTTAGGATCTAATATCGAAAATATCTGTAAATGAAAGCACGATTTTGTTCAGTAAATTCAGACAACCTACTACTATACCTTCTTTCTCTCCATCTAAAAAACTCAGAGCACATTCACCATGCTGTGTCTAAGTGTAATATCAACTTGAAAAAACAAGCAAAATCATAAGAAATTAATAAACAAACAAACTAAACTAAGAAAACAATCGCACCACATGCATTACTTTAAAATTAAGAACCAATTTTTACTTATAAAATGGTTTTTAACATTTTAACATTTGAAAAATAAAAAAAAACAGTGATAGTCAGAACAAGGCCATAAAACATATTTGCAACCTTTCATATTGTTAACTGTTCCAACTTGAAATAGTCGGATTTCACCAGAATTATTTTTTAATATAATTTCTTGGGTATGTGCCCATGGAACCTCACAAATATGATATAATAATAATCTATCCAAAGGAATATGTTTGAGTTTTGTCGCTGAACTACATACCGTCGATTCAACATAGTTATCATATATAGAACATGAAGAAATCCTTTATCACCGATTCAAGATACTTGGTTGAACCGTCTCTATATATTATTATTATTAAAGATTTATTCACACACATTTAATATACATATATATATATATTACATATTACATATATTAATGGTATAGTTTAAATTTGTTTTGTTATGAATGATATTAGATGTATTCATTATTCACTCTCATAATCTCCAATTTCATAAACCTGCTATTTTAAAGAAATCTATAGTCAGACTTTTGATAATATTTTTCTTTCAGGAATAAATTCCTTGCACTTAAAAAGTTGATTCAGCTCGTAATTAAAAAACATTCTAACTGCATACAGACTTTTTCAGCATATTCTTGATGTTTCTAATAGACTTGACATCCAGACTAATCAAAGGGTGTAAACCCATTATCGATGTTGCAGGTAGACTTGACATCCACATTTCGCACTCATCAAAGGGTCTAATCCAATTTTTGTTTCTAGTAGACTTTTAACATCCACAATAATCAAAGGGTGTAAACCCATTCTCGATGTTTCTAGTAGACTTGACATCCACAATTATCAAAGGGTGTAAACCATTCTCGATGTTTCAAGTAGACTTGACATCCATAATAATAAAAGGGTGTAAACCCATTCTCGATGTTTCTAGTAGACTTGACATCCACAATAATCAAAGGGTGTAAACCCATTCTCGATGTTTCTAGTAGACTTGACATCCACAATAATCAAACAGGAACCAAAAAGGTTTCCTCTCGAACCTACAAGTTCTATAAGGGATTGGGCCCTAGTCCTCTTATAATTAGCAAACATTTTGCATGCTTTCTTGAGAGAGGTGTTGACTCCTCAACTGCTCTCAATGTTATGTTATGGATCAAATTACTTTGAGTATGACGTCTTTTCCTGACGTTAAGAGTTTTATATGTTGTAATTTTCTTAAATTATTAATTTACGTACACTCCAAACAAGTTAAGTGCGTTTACAGGACCCTCCTCCCCATGTAGCTGCATAATATCTACATTTTACCGTGCTGTATGGTCTAATAAAGTAATTCTGGATTAAATGACGCTAGAAAACGTAGATGAATAAAGTTTTTATAGGGAAAGAAACTTGTAAACATGAAATATACCGATCTTCTCACCTTCTATAGTATTCCTTCTAGAAAGGATAATTTTACTTGTTAAGTTCGGTTTAAGTAAAGCCCGGAATTTCAGCTAATTTATTTACATTGTGCGTGGCATTGCATGCCATGATGGCAATTTCACAAAAGTACCCTTAAAAGCTTTGTCTGATCAAATTAGATATCAATTTAAAAACTGATTATTTTCAAATGTAAATTAGCCTCAAAAGTGACTTGCGCATTTCTACTGCAGGAAAGCATAAAGAAATTATCAGAATTAATTACAGTTTTCAACCTAAAAACGCCTTTTTCCTCCACATTATTGATTAGATATAAAGGTTTAAAGGGTACCGTTGTAAATCGGGAATTACCATCCTTTAATGGAGGGCTACTGGAAATTACGCTAAAAGTTATCAAATACTTGATCTAGAAGGAAGATAGTGTTTCCCCCCCCCCCCACCCTTCGCATCTATCTAGAACCAAGAGCAGGTTGATAAACCAGTTCTCTATCTTTGGTTCTCAAAATTTCCCGTCCCACAATAGGCTTGAAAAATACAGAAAAGCTTTTCACCTATATAGTCCACACCTGTGCACTATTGATTTGCAATTATATTGTATTAGATCGTATCTACGTATCCTGCCCTAGAAGCCTGGAAGGGGTGGAAGGGATAAGGGTGTGTTCTTTTGTTTATGTTTTAGGTAAAAGCCGGACGCTTATACGCACGGTAGTAAGGGTCCTAGGACATGTTCGACCATTCCCAGCAGACGATCGAAAATGCGGCGGCCGTTAATGGTTACCATTTCTAAAAAATATCAAGTAAAGACACAAGGCGGTTTAATTATGGAGACGAAAATATTGATCGCCGATTTTACCGTCGACGGTTGGTTTGTTTAACTATGCAATGCTTTATACCTGCCTTCCTCTCTCTCTCTACCTCAGTTTATTACTCAGCTTTGATCCTTCAGGTAACCACGGTTATAGGAGCTCCCTCCCTAAGCACAAACCTACCTGGAGTAAACAAACCTAGGATTAAGTCAGACAACAGCAAAACAAAATACATCTTTCAAATTTTATGTACCTTGTACATGTACATTCATAGTGAAAAGGGTCAAGTAGACTTAAGGCACGCATTAATAACACTTTATATTGCTCGAGGCGCTTAAAATCCAGGTTATAGGAGTGGTTATTAAGCGCATTCTTTAAAATAGATCTGTGTGACGGAAAACGTAAGATTTCGCGCACTAGTGCATGCATTACCTAACCGCGCTGCAACCACAATGGTTTGTGCGCTTGGTGGATTTTAATAGAATTTGTCAGATTTCATTTGTCCGCCGAAAATCAATTCACTTCAAACTCAGAACTCTGCCGAATTGAGGCACTGAGTTAGCAGAACTTGGGGGATTCATTGTAGTTATTTAAGATTTGTTATTCTATTGTTTACAAATTCAATTGTTCTTCAAGTTTGCTATAATTTGCATTAAAAAAAATTCACATGTATATATCTACATGTTTTTCCGAATTTTATAATTTTATTCATCATCAATTTTCTATACTGAACATCGACAGATTTGATATTGCCTTGCCCCGGGATTTACGGTTTGTTTTTATTTAAAGAGCATTAATCAAACAAAACAGATGCTTTTATATTCCTATCGTAAAATTGCTGTTATTTTTTATTCGTAAAAACATAAAAGTGATGTGAAATCATTCAATCTGACTTTTTTCCGTCTAGTTTTCAGGATGATCAATCGGTCTCTCATTGGACTAATCTTTGAAAACAAAGTGATGTCGGTAAACACCCTGAGAAGAAAATCAGTAAAACTCGATCGAATCCCTAAAAAAGTCGCTGCTGTTCGGCTTCGGTATTTTAACGAACTGTTTCTGATTTTTGATTAACCTTTATTTCAGTATGACGCTGACCGAGGTTAGAACATACTATGACGAGGTCCACAGGGTCACTATTACCAGGCAGTCTGGGGAACCCCTCGGGCTCACCATCAAGATGGAGGGGGAGTGCGTCGTCGTTTCAAGAATTATCGACGGCGGTCTTATCGAACGCAACGGACTAATCGACCTGGGAGATATTATCGTTGAAGTGGGCGGAGTCCCGATCGAGAGTCCGGATGACCTGATGTATCAAGTGGGCGTGTCTGGGAAGAAAATCACATTTCTTGTAAAGAAAACCCCGGTCGAGAATCTGAAAAACATGGCTATAGCTCAGACCCCGAGCCTGAGAAAGCAGATCAACCAGAAGACGACGAATGTAGAGCAAAAGGTGCTCTGCTACATGAAGGCGTTGTTCAGTTATGATCCAAGAGAAGATACTTTACATCCTTGTCCTGAGATAGGTCTTCTCTTCTTTCAGGGAGATATATTAGCAATAGTTAATCAGGTAAAAAACATCTATATTTGTATATATTCTACATTTACTTTCCCCTTTCCTTTCTTTTTCATCCTTAGTAAATTTATACCTATAATCTATACACATAAATAGTTACTCTCACTGTCTTATTAATTGTTATTAAATAGTTTTCTCCCACTTCTTTCCTTATCAATCCCATGTAAATAGTAAATAGTTACTCTCGCCATTCCTTCCTTATCCATCCTATTTAAATAGCAAATAGTCTCTCCCTTTCCTCCTTAACCATTCTTAGTGAAAATTTACTCTCCCAATTCCTTTCTTTTCCTTTCATAATAAATAGTTACTCGCCCCTTCCTTTCTTATCCATTCTTAGTAAGTAGTTACTAATCCCCTTTCTTCCTTATCCATTCTCAATAAAGAGTTACTTTCTCCCTTCTTCTCTAGCCATCCTTAGTAAATAATTACTCTCCCCCTTTCAATACTTATCAATCCCTACTAAATATATACAAATAATGTATACACCTAAATAATTACTCTCAACTTTCATACTTATCTTTCCTTAGTAAATAGTTACTCATCTCTTTCTTTCTTATCCAACCATTCCAAGGTAAATAAATACTCTCCACCTTCTTTATTAATCCATCCTTAGTAAATAGTTACTGTCTCCTTTTCCTTCCTTATCAATTCTTAGTAAATAGTTACTCCCCTCTTCCTTCCTTATCCATCCATCCTTAGTAAAAAGTTACTCCCCCCTATCCCTCTACATATATTGATACATCGTAAATAGGAAGGAGGAGACCCTTCCTTCCTTATCCATCCTTAGTAAATAGTTACTATATTCCTTCCTTTCTTTTCCTTTCTTAGTAAGTAGTTACTCTCCTCCTTCCTTCTTTATCTACCATAATAAATAGTTACTCTCCTCCTTTCCTACTTATCCATTTTTAGCAAATAGAATTACTCTTTCCCTTTCTTGCTTATCCATCCTTAGTAAATATTTTCTCCCCTCCTTTCCCTCCTAATCCTTCCTTCCTTCGTTCCTAATCCTTCCTTCCTTCGTAAAAAGTTACTTATCTATTCTTAGTTGATCGATGCTCTTCCCTTTCATACTTATCCATCCTTAGCTTAGTAAAAAGTAGCTCTTTCCATTCCATCCTTTTTCTCACTTTATTCCATCCTTGTCCACATTTTAAAAATGTTGCTCCTCATCTCTTTCGTATTCTTTCTTTAGTAAATTGCTCATATTATGTCTTCTTTATGCTCTCATAGTTCATCAGACACTTTAAGTATTCTACATCTAAAATATCATTTTCTGCAGGATGACCCTAACTGGTGGCAGGCTAGACTAGCTGACTGCCCTGGACCTGCTCAGATCATCCCGTCCCTAGAACTAGAAGAACGCAGGAAAGCGTATGTGGACCCGGAGTCAGATTACGCAAATAAAATAGGACTCTGTGGAACCTTCACGGCGAAGAAGAAGAAAAAGAAGTTGTACGAGTCAAGATCCAATACACAGTTCGACAAGGCCGAGCTGAGCCTGTATGAGGAGGTGATTAAGCTACCTCCTTTCAGGAGGAAAACCTTGGTTCTCATCGGAGCTAACGGAGTAGGACGGAGAACATTAAAGAATCGTATTATTGAGAACAATCCGGAGAGATTCGCGGCACCAATCCCACATACTTCAAGACCTAAACGACCGGAGGAGGATAATGGATTTAGGTAAAATACAGTGAGACCCAGAAAACTGTGGAATAGGACTTGACAATAAGTGCATTTGATGTTGGTACATAGAAAATAGTTTTACTAGACACTGAAATAGGTCTGTTTACACTGTACAATTGATGTGTCTTATGTTCATGGGACTAATAAGAGTCAAAACTTGAGTCTAAAAGTCGTCTTCCTGTTCCAGAGTTTTATTGCTATCACTGTAGAAAAAATTACAATAATATCTTAAAACATTGCTTAATGTCGGATATGTATACGGTTTCTTTCAAAACTGTTTATCGGATCAGATTTTAAAAGTTTTTGAAATAGTTTAAATTGGCCTTATATTAATTGACTGGCTTGTCTGATTCACAACAATACCTTTGAAACTTTTGTTTGAGATCAAGAGCGAGGATAGCCGAAAATAGATTATTTTCAATTGTTTTTTCTCTGTAAAAGAAACTTGTGGATTTATGACAGAAATGTTAAGAATTTAACACTTTAATGGAATTGTTGTGAAATGGATTTAACATTTTTAAATGGAAGTCGCCTGAAATTAAGTCTTTTAAAATGGTAAACTTAATTTTTAATACTTTACATCAATAGTCATCAACCAAATTATCTAAACAATTCCTTAAAGTCCGAAGTGCCTCAAGAGATTTTGTGGCAAGTTTATAATTTAAATTTGTGGCAGATTCTATTGACTAGCATACTACTTGTGGCAGATTTAATGATCAAACATACTATATGTGGCAAATATTATTTGTGGAATAATTTTTTAGTTGCATTTTTCGCCTTAAGTGTTATGAACTTTCAGCGTTTATTAGAAGTTAAGGATTGCAACATAGTTTAAAGTTTAACAACTCAACCTATGCTAAAGGCGTAGGTTTAAAGTTTAATGAGCGGAAGAAAACCTGATTTATTAAGCTTCAAATATCTTGTCAAACCGGGCGTGAAAACGCTCTGAAAACCTTTTCTACTTCTTTATTGATAAGGTTNGGTCAGGGCTGTTTGAACAAGTATGGACAAATAAAAAATCACGTTCATTTTTGTGGGAAACGCTTGAAAGTGTGAAACTTTGTTTAAGGTGTGAACAAATAAAGATAGAACATTGATAAGAACGCAGAACGGTTCAAATAAAACTGTGTTTAATAACGTTTATTTTCAATCATGAAACAATTCAATAATTCCAGTAACATCCAGATCTAGATCCGTTTGATCCGCAACATTTTGGCCTGGAGCCGGATCCGCCAAAATATGCGATCCGTGGATCCGGATCCAATGGGCAAAATATCAACCAAAACCTGTAAATTTTTATTTGATAAAAAAAAACCCAGTTGAGAAATGTTCATGACCGCATTAAACAATCATTATCCTTAACAAAGTTTATTTTCATCTAAAGAATGTGTCTTTACAATCTCGTTAAATTAAACTTCCCACAATGCAAGGAGGCTGGAGCATATTAAAAATAAATTTTAGATTGAATTTGAATGGCGCATCCTAGGTTTAGTAAACAGTTGACTACATCATGTCTAAACCTGACCTAACCTAGTGTAGTCCTTCCCTTTCAGACAAGATTATCATTTCAGAAAATAAAAATTATTAAACTCTCTTCGTACTCTTAATTTTCAAATCCTTACATATTTGCAACCTGATGTCGTAGTCCTTTCACATTTTGAATTATGTACTTTGCTAGATTCAAAAGTATTACATCTCTAAGGTTGCAGAGATATAGGAAAAATAACAGTAGAGTTTGAGGCGAGTGTTCCAAAATTTGGGATTTAGTCATTTTTAAATCTTCCTTTGGAAAGATATTCTATGCACATATCTTTTAAAAGTTCCAAGAAAGATACTGGAGGAGCCAACATATCTAAGTTTACAAATAGTGTACTGCAGTTAGTATCTAATTTGTTTACATTCCTCCTACGAACTGTTGCACACTTTTCTTAAACAAAGACATGAGGATGCCCGGTGTATTTTCCTTAAAGGGACTGTAAGAGTAATTTCAAGTGTCGTTCATGCAAAGATGGCAATGTCCGATTTACAACGATACCCTTGAAACTTTTACCTAATCAATAATATGGAAGATATTGTTGTTTTTCTGGGTCTAAAAGTGTTTAATTTTGATAATTCCTATTTGTTATATGCAGTAGAAATGTGCAAGTCACTTAAGTAGAGAAATCAAAAAAGAAAATAATTGGTTTTCACAATCATAAACATTGATATATAATTTATGCTTGAATCAGACTAAGTTTTTAAGAGTTTCGTTATGAATTGTACATTGCCATCTTTCCTCCACTTGAAAATACGCTTTCAGTTCCTTTAGCTTGAACCATGTTTATAAATTTGATTCTGCAGGTACTGGTTTGTGGACCGTGAGGATCTAGAGATCAGTATCCGTCGTCATGAACTGCTAGAGTACGGAGATCATCAAGGAGAACTCTATGGAACTAAACTAGACTCAGTTAGACAAATAATATCTACAGGAACGGATTTATATATCTATATTTAAACATCAAATAATGAAAATCAAATTTCCTGTGTTGTTAATTATCCAAAATTAAACTGGGTAATTATTAAGCGTACAGGGACAAAAGATGCAATTTTAAGATACGTAGAGGAGCACCTTTAATTTTCAATTATTCTATTTAAATCTTAAGAATAAATGGTATTTCCTTTTTTTGTCATTTTCTATTGTAGTTTCTCTAGAACAGTTACTTGCGGATTTATACAACAGAGAAAAAGAAGGAAATTGTCAACATTGAACACGTTTTAAGATTATAAAAAACCCTGCGAAAGCTTCCTTCCTTATTGATGTTCCGATGACGGTTTTAAAAGTATCTTTGTTAATCGGACCTATCACTCTATTACGATTTTAAGTTTTTCTTGACAAATATGAACCCGTGTTTCCAGGACGTATCTGTGTACTTGATTGTACTCCAGGGGCCCTGAAACTCCTCCACAACTCTAACGAGTTTATGCCCTACGTGGTGTTCCTCGCTGCCCCTGGTATGGACGAGATGAAGCACGTTTACGATAACGACAAAATGACCGGCGCGATCATGGCGTCCCAGAGAACCTTAAATAATTTTGAGAAAACCTCGTCAATTCGTCGTAGCTCAAGACGGGCGAAAACCCTGGAATCCCTCAGTTCACTCTACGTAGAAGAAGATATTGTAAAGAACCTGGAAGAAAGTGCGCGACTGCAACGCGCGTACGCGAGTTATTATGATAAAATTATCGTCAATGAGAGTTGGGATGATACCTATCTTAAGATAATGAATGCAATAGAGGATGTAGAACATGATTCGAGTTGGGTTCCGGCCAAATGGGTTTACTCTTAATCCTTTATTTATTTGGAGAGGGGTAGAAGGGGGGGGTCCCTACTTTCTGTCTTAATATCAACAAAATAGTTTTCCCTTGTTACCCTTACTCTTAAACTTTTGAAACTTTTAGAGAGAAATTTTCTCATTATATGTTTTTTAACTTTCACCCCAAATCTCCTTCAAACAGCTCCTATTCCCCTAAAATCTTTAGCGAGTTTTTTTTATCTTGATCCATGATTAAAGTGGCCATTTTGAAATAGGCATTGTGACTAGATTCTCATACATAGACGCTTATTTATCAAGAGACTTATTCAAACTATGTACGTGTCTGTTTATTGTCGAATGTTTGGAGGATTTTGCGTGGTACGAATATGATAATGATTTAACAAATCATGTAGAAATCAAGTTACGCCGGAAGATTTTTAAACGTTGTAAAACATTTAAATAAAATTGTAAACGTTTTTTTCATTCATGAAACATACTAGCTGAATGTATTTTTGTATTAAATGTTCAAGTCTGGCATTTTTTTTGTAATAATTTTTTAATGTGAAAATATAACAGTATTCTATTTATTTTAAACGAGGTTATTGTGCAGAAAAAAAGTATGACAATTTTTTTATTTAAAAGTCAGGTGAAATGACTTCGTTTTATCCTTGTCGCATAAGTTAATTATAATGAAGTGTCACTTACTTACAAATAATTTATTAATGTCCATTTTAAGCAAGTTTTATTTTGATATCTTTGTCCATTTTTGCTTTAGATACACGTGGTGTCCCAAAAAACGTGGGAATTTAGAGATGACCTGAAAGTCGTCTTTGATTTCTGACATTTAATGCATGGTTTAAATAAAGTAAAAAATGAGGCTATGCGTCTGACGAGCTTTTCTTACATTAGTCTACCTTTCTTAAGTATCTTAAAAATTGATGAAGATATTGGATATTAAGACGTTTATAATTTATTAATAAATTAAAATTTCAAATTTTACAATATCTCCGGCACCGTATATTTTGAAAATACATAAATTTTAGAATACATTTGAAAATCTTATGACCAGGTGTTTTCGATATTAGATGTTTAAAGCTAGGATATTGCAATATTTGTATTCTTGAAACAATGCCGCACGGATCGAAGACTATATTAAACTCGCCACTTAATTCCCATGTTTATTTGGACACCCTGTATCAAATAGAATTCTTTTAGAATGGCCGCGATTTTTGAATAGAAAAACAAAATTTCCTCGTAATTATCTTCTTGAAATGGAGTTAAAGATATGTTAATTCACCCTTCCTAACGTTGAATTATATAAATTTAAGTTGACATAACCTCTTAAAGTATGATCGTCGAACTATCATTGAAATTCGGCATAATTCCTCCTTTACAAACAAAGCAAAGATTTAATAAATCAAGCTAAGCACATTTCCGTAGTACTATAGAGTTCTTAATGCAAGATTTGAGGCAAATCGGTTTAAATTAGATTTCTAATTTTAACAGCGAAGAATGCAAATATTTTCTGTTCACTCGATTCGTCCTGTGATATCCCAAGTTAAGCGAATATTTCGGATTGATATGACGACATTCAAGACACTATTTAAATAAAGGGTGTCCCACATCAAATTAGACCGCGTCAATGGGTCTAAATTACGATTTGGGGGACAAATCAGAAAATTTAAGAAGAAGGAATCATTTTGAAAAATTTAATAAGGCTAATAGAATTTTATTTTGCAGAAAATGCTAGATTTTTTGAGTATAATGTAGTTTTCCAACAATTTTATTAACACTTTGTTAACATGCGACAGTTTTATAATACATGCAATTTTGGGCTGCAACAATTTTCTTTTACTGAAATACCAAGACTACTATTATATTTCCGGAAAATGCGACAAGGATTTTATTCTGAATGTTTCTTGAAAAAATATATCTATTTGACATGGTTACCCAGGGGGATAATAGTTCTCTACCTGTCTGCTCAGTTAGCTGTACAACTGTTTACTAATTAGGCCAGAATCAACTTAAAATAAACAAATACACAGTACGCTCTCGGTATATATAGTTCATGGCCTAAAAAACTAGTAAAGGGTTGGCGTACATCATCACTCTATACACTGTAATCTCTTTGTGGTTACCCCTAAAGGATTTTGATGACGACTTTCGACTCAATAAGAGACAAAGGTTGTATATGGGAAAGAAGGAATCAAGTTGTACAGCTGCACGGAACCCTTAATGTATGTACACGAAACGTGACAGTAGCAAGACGACTAAAAAAGAATACAACCATGAATTTTCGAAATCTGAACGAAAATCTTCACATCTCCGGTAATATTGAAATTCACAAAAAAAAACAGTCCAGATTTTGGAAATGCCAAGACTCGGGTTATTTTTTGATAATTAACTTTACAATATTACTTCTAAAAATTGTTTGCGAATAAATGTCGCTTATCATTTTAAAGATTAAAGACATCATTCAAATCGTCTTGCTACGCTCATGTTTCGTGGCACACCCTGTATATTGTATAATTCAAAAGACGTCTTCATTATCAGTTAAACAGCTATACTTTTAAAAGTCATTAAAATGTTAAATTATACTTTATACATTACTAGCTTGGAAACCCGGCGCTGCCCAGGTTACTCGCAGTTACTTCCGCCATTTACCCGCACATGGTCGATTTTATCGGGAAACTAAATTTTCACATTGAAAGTCGATTCACTCAAATTAGAATCCCAAACCCAAGCTAAGAACATTCCCATGGTTCTTCCGCGTTCCCCAATCAAAATTTTAGGAAAATGGGTCAAGTTGTTCCTGAGTTATTATCGGACAAACAAACATAGATTACTACTTTATATATAGATACAACCAGAATATTTTGCTAAATGAACTGTCTTATATTTATTATAATATCTGCGTTTAATTATCTACATTTGTTAACACAAATTCGAAATATAAGGAAGACGATTTTACCGACTCAGATGCCGTTGATTATTTTCAAGACGTATAACCGAGACCATAATCTTCTGGGGAAGTTTCTGTACGATGTGGTCGAATTTGGTTTTTGACTGTGTGATTTGGGCGTTTCTGAAGGCTGCTTCTGCATGAAGGAGCCACAGATCGGGGTCCTCTGTCCAGAAATCCGGGAGCTTGACGGAGACTTTGGCGACAAACTCGGTTGGAGTTTCTTTTCGGTCGGTCATGATGCTCGGATGTATCACTTAATGTTCAAAGTTCAAGAAAATCACGAAACTGGATAGCATTTAACTGTATGCTCAAAGTCGGGGGTCACCAATATAGAGGACGTGAGTCAGACTCTAATGAAAACGCATGAATAACTTCCAGTGTATATATTTCTTATAACTTATTACTAGAGGGTTCAGAATAAAAGTTTATATCAAGATCACACGTGTAGATGTTTATCAGTACTATGCCCCGTATCCGTTCTATCTCATTCTGTTGAATCTTGTGGAACTTGTTTAACGCGGCCAGGCATCGTCTTCCACACTGTCATATATTCAGTGCAATATTCACCTTTACATTCAGAATATTTAGTAAAGGAACTTTCTTATGTCCAGTACAATATCTACGTTTATTTATCTACATTATACATTCAGAATATTTAGTAAAGAAACTGTCTTATATTCAATTCAATATCTACGTTTAATTATATAAATTTTACATTATACATTTTACATTATACAACCAGAATATTTTGTATTTTTCATATACATTATACATTATACATTATACATTATACATTCAGAATATTTGGTAAAGGAACTGTCTTATATTTAATGCACTATGTCTTCTAATTATATACATTATACATTCAGAATATTTAGCTAAAGGAACATGCCTTATATTCATTATAATATTGCTAAAGGAACTGTCTTACATTCATTACAATATCTACGTTTAATTATACATTATACATAATACAACCAGAATATTTTGCTGAAGGAACATGCCTTATATTCATTATAATATTGTTGACACAAATAACGAATGTCTTGATTTAGGTTAGAAGGCCCCTCTTAACACAAACACAAGTTGCAAATATAGAAATATTTTCAAACCTACAAATTACAGTTTTAGTAATTATTAATGTTATTAATATGATTGAGTAACTTACAAGAAGGGTGTGTCTGGGGTAATCAAGGCGGAAGTGATGGGGACAGTTTAAAACATTTAGATTTCACTTCTGAAATAAAATTAGCCCGATTGTTTAAGTAGAATATTCACGGGTTGTATGATTTAAGACGTTTTTCTATTTAACATGTTTTCTCTGTCAGGGACGGAGGTATTCGCGGTATATCATAGATTCAGCCTGCGTATATAAAATCTCCAAAGTTGTTAAAACATGGTCGACTTTGAAGTGTCGCAACGCCTTGGGCTCTAATTCGCTTATGCTTTTCTGTAGCCTTTTATATGTACATTTTCACATTTTAAAGCACTTGTTGTTAGCTTTAGTTTTATATAAATAAATTGCAAAATTCTTATAAATTTTAGCTTGAGAGTTGAGACCTTTACATCACAGTGATATATTCTCTGGTTTTAGACTTATCCAAATAGTAGGAATAGTAGGAAGACGACATTACGCAGGATAAAGTGGGAGGCAGATTTATGTGCAGTCTATTATGTTCAATCTAATAATAAAGATAGCGCATCAGATAATTTCTTGTGCTCGTTGAGAGATTTTTTGCGTTTAATTATATACACATTTCTAGATTGGGAACCCAGCGCTGCCTAGTTTACTCCCGCCGTTTACCCGCACTTAAACGATTTTACCCTGAAACTGAATTTCCGCAATTAACTTAGAACATTCTCGTTGGTCTCACAAATTCCCCGATCAGAATTGAGGCAATTCGGCCCAAGGGTTTTTAAGTTATAATCGGAAAAATAAACTGACAGATAAACAGAGATGAGATTACAACTTTATATTATAGATAAAACCAGAATACTTTGCACAAACTCTAATTTTCTAATCCTGATATCTTTGATGTTGTAGACCTTCGACATGCTAAAAACGTTAAAGTTTAAAATTTCAAAGGTTTTACATCATCAGGTTGCAAATAAATGATGATTCGATTAATATAAAATAAGAGTTTGTTGCGAGTAATAAGTTCCTTTATCTACTTTTTCATTTCTGAAGATATTTCAGGAAAATCTGGAGAGGAGGAATTTTTCAAACTTTTCCTATTTGTAAAGTTTGAAAGATTTCTTTACTATAACAGTGTCAAGATTTACATATAATTATAGAACAATATAATAGATAGATAGATAGATAGATAGATAAAGTTTATTGCTAAAATACGTGTATCTGTGAACAGAACGAGTTCACAATTACAAATTGATAATTATTTTAACAGTACAAGTATAAAACAATTAGGTGGAAAATAGCTCTTGGCTGTTTTGATTATTTTTTCCACCTAATTTCAATAATGATAATAAAATATTCCAATTAAATAGATTTGAGGAGAACTATTAGAGATCAGGGTGCGATTTTATCTTACTAGAAATTCAAGGCGCTTCGCGCCCTTCTTTCTAGCCTTAGAGGGCGCTTCGCGCCCATCTTCTAAATCAGTTGTGAACATGTTCTCTTTGTGTACATCGTAAAACAAAACAAAAAATAATTCGCGGATTTTCAAAATTTTTAAAAATTTAATGACGATCGAATTTTGATGGAGACAAATATTTGAAATTTTGATTTTTCATAAACCGTCCCTAGATGTCCCACAAAAAATTTGGTTCAGCCGTTTTGACGTTTATTGGATACAAACAAACAAACAAACAGACAAATAGACAAACAGACAAGCCAAATTTATATATATAGATGCAAAGTAGTTTATACATTTGTTAGAATAACTAGAGTTTAAAGTAATTTTCTGACATGTACACAACAAATATAGAAGCATATTAAAACAAATCTAATTAGTTTTACATGAATAGCAATTCTATTTATAACACATTGTAATGTAATTTTCAAAAAGAGAATTTGGTAGTTTATTTTTTAATATACTTAGAGAGTTGCTTCTTTTTAGGTTAAGAGGCAGGTTATTTCATATCTTAAGAAGAGAGCTTGATGGTAAATACTGTAATGAGCACATTTTGAGAATGTCCAGTTGATAGTTAAGCGATCTTTCAAAGTTTCCAAGCTTTTTAAAAATGTTTTCAAAAGATGTAGGAAGAAGTTTATTTGTATATTTATACATAAATAAAGATTGGTTAAAGTCTACCAGATCATTAATCTTTAGAATCTTATACTTAAGGTCAAGGAAAAGAGAATCACTATGAGACTTTGAGTTATCAATTAATCTTATTGGTCGTTTCTGTAAAATGTGAATTTTTTTTCATTTCCGAACATTCTTCCCTAGGCTGAAATTCAATATTCTATATATGATCAAAATAAATAATAGTTGTAGATGGTTAGTTTAAAATACTAGGAAGAATATTTTTACACTTGACAAAGCAAAAACTGCACTGGATGCCTTAAGATGATGTTTCCAGTTAAGATTTTCGTCTAAATGAACACCTACAAACTTAAAAGATGAATTTTTACATCTAATTCCTACTCTTTCTATATCTTTATTATCTATTAGAAGTTTAAAAGGGGTGATATTTACATCTTCCTTTTTCTTTTTGAAGAGAATATATTTGGTTTTAGACGCATTCAAAGTCAGTTTGTTTGCTTTAAACCAATCTTCTATTTTAGAGAGCTAAAAATTTGCCAAATCATATAAGTCGTGTAAGTTTTTAAGGAAAGTTGTTGTAGTGTTGCATCATCGAAAAAAAGAATTGTAAAAAATTTCGATGCTTTAGGAAGGTCATTAATAAGAATTAGAAATAAAATTGATCCTAATATTGACCCTTGTGGTACACCACAAGAGATTTCTTTAAGTGAAGAGTCAACACCCCTGATTGAAGTAAATTGTTTTCTTCCCTTTAAATAATTTTTGAACCATAAGTTAGTCCCACGAAATCCATAGTGTTCAAGCTGGCTCAGTAAAATTTCCACATCACAGGTTTAGTTAAATCTATAAAAATTCCCAGAGTATATTCGGATACAGGTTTATTTAGTGCGTTGTATATTTTATCTAAGAAATGAATTAAGGGTTGAGTAGTGTTGTGCTTTGCTCTGAAGCCATACTGATGTTCATAAAGTAGTTTAAATTTATTCAAATATTTCATAATTTGATTTGCTGCCACTTTTTCTATAAGTTTTGAAAACGAAGAAAGCAAACTTATAGGCCTATAATTTGTAAAATTGTCCGTTTCCCCAGCCTTGAAGATTGGGACGATTTTTGCAGTTTTAAGAATGGTAGGAATAAACCCAGTTTTGAAAGATATATTAAATAAATGACAGATAGGACCCATGATAATTGGTATGATAGACTTCATATCAGGGGTCATATTTGCAAAAACAAAGTTTTCATCCATTTCCTGTGAAAAAAATGTCAGAAAATTGTGTTTCAGTGCCTTCAATAGTTTTTGCTTATAGATCAGGACCTTTATTAGCAAAAAAATATTGAAACCCTCTGATATTTCTAAAGCCCCTGAGAGAACTTTTCCATTGCTCACAAATGAATCAGAGCCCATTCTCTCCATAGAAAGTGGTCGTGTATTTCACGTACTTTGGGGGACGATATGTTGGCCCCTAGATGTCTCATGCTAGATTCTTATCTGATAGATAGATATTTCTCCGTACACTTGACGAACAATATAGGAGACGTCAAGTTGTCGACCAATGTATTTTATGGAAGGAACGGCCTCAGGAATGTTAATTGTTTTACGTCCTCTTCCTAGTACACTAATAATAGTCAGTCATGTTTATTTACAATCTTTAATATATTCTTAAAATTTATCATCAAAGTATTTTTGGTGCTGCCCTTACAAGGCGTGGTATACACTGCGCCACCCCACTCAGAGATCATTCTTTAAATCTAGATTTACTTTCCTGAAAGGGTTTCTTCAACTTTTTATTTAACAATTTGACTTTACGTTTTCTCGATATTTTCGTCAGCTATAGCTGACATATAAATATATGAGCGAAGAAAAGTAAATATAACCATAAGATCGATTTTAGATTAAATTTTGAAATTTTAAAAGTTGCATGATCTGAACCAGTACAAGGACAATCGTCTAGTATTTACCGTACCGGTCCGTCTAGTGTACCCAGTATGTGATGGACCCAACGCTTTTTTATGCAACAGAATAAGAAGGGCTGAACTATAAGTGTCATAATGCATGACTACATGAGAAAGAAGTTTTTTTTTTTTTTTAATTTTCCGCATAGCTACTTATTGGTTTCAAATACTAATATATTTATATGCAAGGTTACACAGAAGAAATGAGACGAATTAATGACGACATAAAATACCAATTAGATATGTGAAGGTCAAATTTGGAAGAAAATACAATACTTAAAGAATATATGGAACCTCGAATGTAAGTGATAAGTTTGATTCTATTATGTACAGTCGTCTCTGAAGTTTCATATCCTTTGTGGGTAACCCTGCATATATATGTAGAATTACAGAGTAGAGAATAATATACTAAATTAATGTAATATATATATTTTATACGCCTGGTATACCGATAATTTTTAAATTTCTCCCTTTTTCTTAATATATTCCCAGGAGGTTTCTACCTCCTACTCCTCCCTGTCTAATCAGAAATCATCATCCCTCAAGGTGGAGTTCAAATCCCGCAGTAAACCCCTAGTAAACCCGCTATCCTAGAGTCAATACGTCCTGCCGCACACTCACAAAGGAGAAGAGAGAGAGTAAGGCAGTTTTCGTGCCGTCCCGACCCACTCCATGCCTAGATCAGGCTTAAAGAGGAGGAAGTAAGGGCGGGTTGGGTCGGAAAGGAAGGAAGGACGGGTTGGGTCCAGCGTATCCGTGTTGGGACTAAAGCAGTCTCCAGCCGGCCTCTGCCTGGTGAGGCATGAGTGTACCTTACTCTAGCATAATATCACATTAAAATCTTGGTTTCTCTACCTCCCTCATCCAACCCAGGCGGTTATTCTCCAGCTCACAGAGGAACCGACCCTTCTCCTTGTCCTAGAACACCTTGCTGGACTAGGTGTATGGATCTGTGAACGTGTAATAAATCAGCTGTGTGAATATCTGTGTAGAATCTCAAGATAATATTGATCCAGAAAATAGGTTTATTTATCAGATACTAGGCAGTAAATATTGTCAGGGTTGTTTTCATGGTTAAATATTGGTGGGGGGTGGAGCACCCTGACACGCCTCTATGCTAGTGGGCGTGGAGCAGGTTCCCCGCCCACCAGGAGGAGGCGGGAAACTTCGCACTTTTTCTTGCTCTACCGAGGAGAGGTGAGTTTGTTTCAGAATCTTTGGTTTTTATCTCTTCAAAGATTAATGTTTTCTCCAGATTATCTTTCTTAACCTTACTTACAAGTTACACACACACACACGACTTATACATACTTTTCACACTCATGACATTGCATACACTAAACTAACGGGTATGGTAAAATCGGTGCTTAGGATCCGGATCCGGATCCGTTGGATCCGCAAGATATTGGCTTCCTGGATCCAGATCCAAAGGGATAAAATACCAACCAAAAACTGCAGATAAAATACCTACCAAAAACTGCAAAACAACTATTTTACTTCTAAAAATTATAAAAATTTCCTCATTTCTGAATGGTTCATCAAGTTTTAGGATAAAAATAAGCGACAAAAAAATAAAACCAAAAATTTAAAATTATTTTTTGTTAAAAAATTCAGTACATCTTAAAGAAATGACCTGGATCCGGAACCGGATTTGGATCCGGATCCGCATCAAAATTAAATGGATCCTAAGCACTGGGTAAAATTATACTATATTTGAATGTGCAGAAAAACTAACAAGTTTAGTTCACTAGGAAAAGATGTGTTTAGTTCTTATTCGTTTATCGAGTAACAATATAGATGTATGATTAGTTGATTGGTTATTTGGGGTAATTTAACACAACGTAGGGAATATATATTATACAGGGAATAGAAGGAAATACAGACTATATAATAGGGAATAGAAGGGAATACAGATTATAGAAAAGGGAATAGAAGGGAATACAGATTATATAATAGGGAATAGAAGGGAATATAGATTATATAATAGGGAATAGGAGGGAATATAGATTATATAATAGGGAATAGGAGGAAATATAGATTACTAGTCTTTTAGGGCGCTTCGCGCCCATCTTCTATTTCAAATTTTAACTGTGGCTTTATCTGTGAGCATCTTCTCTTTGTACAGTATAAAAAAAAAAAAAAATAGTTTGCGGATTTCATAACATTTTTTCGCGCATTTTCAAAATTTCACAAAAATAAAAAGCTTTAAAATACAAACTTTTAAGATTTTGATCATCAATAAACCTTCCCTGGGGTCACGTGAGGTCCCATACAAAATTTGGGCTCGATCAGTTCAGCCGTTTTGACGTTGGATACAAAAAAACAGACAAACAGACAAGCTAAATTTATATATATATACTAGGCTTTTAGGGCGCCTTCTATGGTTTCTACAAGTATACAAGTTCTTGGTCTACTTATTTATATATCTATGGTGTTTCTACAGATATACCAGTATCTGGTCTACTTAGTTATATATCTATGGTTTCTACAGGTATACCAGTATCTGGTCTACTTAGTTTTATATCTATGGTTTCTACAGTTATACCCGTATCTGGTCTACTTATTTATATATCTATGGTGTTTCTACAGATATACCAGTATCTGGTCTACATATTTATGTATCTATGGTTTCTACAGGTATACCAGTATCTGGTCTACATATTTATATACCGGTATAAAAGTATCTGGTCTACATATTTATATACCTAAGGGTTCTACCGGGTATACAAGTATCTGATCTACTTATTTATATAAATATATGGTTTCTACAGGTATACCCATATCTGGTCTACATATTTATATATCTAAGGGTTTTACCGGTCGCGGTATACAAGTATCTGATCTACTTATTTATATATATATAGGGTTTCTACCGGTATACAAGTATTTGGTCTACATATTTATATATCTAAGGGTTCTACCGGGTATACAAGTATCTGATCTACTTATTTATATATATATGGTTTCTACAGGTATACCCGTGTCTGGTCTTGGTTTCTACGGGTATACAAGTGTCTGGTCTACTTTTTAATATAAAACATTCTAGAAGGTTAAAATGATATTTTCTAAAAAGCATGAAGTAAAATCATGAGAAATATTTCAAACTTAACGAGAATATTAACATAGAAAGAATAAATTTCGAAAAGTAAATGACCTGAGTTGAAAACTTTAGAATTGTGGATATCAAGATTAATGCTTAAACTCCTGGTTTTACTTAACCCAAGATTATTTTAAAACGCATTCGATATCCAAGAAAGAAGTTAAAATTTTAACCCATCAGCGTGTCATGTTAAGATTTACTCTTTAACTTTTGAAAAACCGGTTTTGATTTCTGTTGTTGATCAAGAAATATATAGACTAGAAACCGTCATATCTCATGCGTCAAATCTTTGTACTGCGGTGGGAGGAGATGAAAACAAAGAATTCAGGGGCAACACATAAAAAAAATCAACAGTGTGTACACTGGATAATCAGATTAAGCGATCGTGATATCTCATTCTAAAGATCCTAGCGCTGAAGACATAATTTCAAGTGACCCTTCATTTGCATTTACATTTATGATTCACAATGATACCCTGTAAACCTTTCTTAGTGTTCTTTCTAAAAATTTATTATTTTCTATCAGGTAAAGGTTTGGATGGTACAGTTGTGGATCAGACGTGCCATTCCATGAAAGGAGGGTCAATTGAATCATGTCTTTAGCCCCTTGAAGATAATGCGCAGTTGATACATATTTAACCTTTTTTGTTTTCATTTTTAAAGTTTTGATAAATATTTTGTTTTCAGTGGAGTTGAGAGTTTAAGCCCAGCAGAGACTAGATGTGGTTCAGAACACTCAGAGCAATCCACACATCACTCAGAGGCGGAGAGTGAGACATCAGATTATCCTCGCAGCACTCCCAGTCCTTCCGCCCCCAAACCCTCCAATGGGATCCTATCCGCCCTTGTCAAAAACTCAATTCCGTCTGGGCGGACAAAAAGCCTAGATGTGGCGGAGAAAGCTCCAATTGTTCCGCCCTCACGGCGAATCACACTGCCGACGGATTCATGGAAACCGCTTCAGAACTTGAAGGTTTCCCTTGTTAAACTTTCAACCTCAACCCTTCAAGCTCATCATCTCCCCTCCAACATTGAACCTGAGTCCTCTCTGTGTGAGTCCAAGACTGGAAATCATGAGCCAAAACGCTCTCTGGACTCGGCTGAGGAGACACAGATTAAAAGGCTTAAGTTGGAAGATAACCCTGAGGTGAAGGGAGAATCCTCAACTAGTCAGAAAACACAAAAATCTTTAAACTTCTCCGAACCTGGATTTAATCTGAAGTCTGAACCCGACCTCAAACCTGAGAATGAAACTTATTTCTCCGAGTTGAAACCAATATCCAACCTACCAACGAGCACTGAAGATCTCAAACTTGAAATTGCAAAGATCGATAGTATCCTCGATGGATCTCCTGATAAATGTCACGTGGCGCCCCCTCGAGAGAGTGTGCTATATGATCCCTTGAACCCCGGAGTTAGATTAAAAAATGAGATCTATGCACTAAAGGACCGGACTGGAGAAGAGAGTAAGACTGATGTTGACTCCAACAGGACGAATGAGCTGGAGGAGGAGGAGGGGAGTAAGGTCCCGGAGAGGGAGTTTGTCAAGTGTTTATGGAAAGGCTGTGGACTGGATGTAGAGGATATGCATCTTCTTGAACATCTTAATGTAAGTTTTTTATGGGTTGTAACAAAGATAATAAAAGCTCAGATAAAAGGGATTGTAGATGTAATTTCAACTGGCATGTCCAATTACCAAATGCACCCTTAAAATCCATGTATGATCAAGAATGAATGAAATATTCAAGTTATAAAAGTAACTGCGGATTTATGTTACAAAATCAGTGGATGAAATGGTCAGAATGAAAGACTTTTCAAGACTTAAAAAGCGATGTCTTTCACATTAAAACCCCAGATAACGATTTAAAGCCTGAATGGTTGTGCATCGGACATGCCACTCTATAAAATTGAAATTGCGTTTACAGGCACAGTAACTTAAAGGTTTGTATAAAGATAACAAAAGTTTAGATAAAAAGATAAAACCTTTGATGTATTAACATCTAGCGTACACTTTCCAGATCAATTCCTCATTTTCGAATTAGATCAAGTATTTTGATACTAGGCTTTTAGGACGCTTCGCGCCCATCTTCTATTTAAATTGTGAACATGTTCTCTTTGTGAACATTTTAAAGCAAAGAATTCGCAGGTTTTATAAAAAATACCGTGGATTTTTAAACTTAAGAACAATAAAAAACTTTTAACCCAAATTTTGATTAATTATAAACCTTCCTTGGGGTCATGTGATGTCATACACAAAATTTGGGCCCGATCGGTTCAGCTGTTTTAACGTTTATTGGACATAAACAAACAGACAGACAAGCCAAATTTATATATGAATTGTGGCATTCTTGCATTACTTTTCATCGCTAAGTGTAAGTTTGTTTCTTACAATCTTTCATATACTTTCTAAAGATACGTTCTTCTTATAATCTTTTTTGCAATTTCTGATATAGAGTAAAGTGGACCTTCATTATAATTTTTCATTTCAATTAAGAGCTGTTAACTACGTGATAACATAATTTATGTTGAATTTTTACAGTTCAATCATTGACACCAAGCTTACTCTAATTTTCACAAAAAGTTTTTTATTTTACAATCTTTCCTATGCACTTTTTATTAATAAGTTCTTTTTTTACAATCTCTCCTATGCACTTTTTATTAATAAGTTCTTTTTTTACAATCTTTCCTATGCACTTTTCATTAATAAGTTCTTTTTTTACAATCTCTCCTATGCACTTTTCATTAATAAGTTCTTTTTTGCAACAATCTGTCATAGAATAATTATAGAAAAGTATTTGACTTTTAAAACGTTCGGAATTCGTAAGGTCATCTCTTACGTAGTTCACAACATGTAACACATTTTTAAACAGTAAATTATAAGATAGCAAAGCAGAGAAATGCACATCATCAACTTTGAATTATATAATTATTTAGAAATATTAACATCTGTAATCTTCAATACTAAAAACTAAATGTCGACGTATTTTCAAATGAACTATTTAAAGAATTACTTGTCCAAGTAACTAAAGTACCATTTAAACCTTTATCTGAGTAACAATGAGGAAGATATTGTCGTTTTTTGAATTGTGAAAAGTTTCTTCATTGTCTCTCTCTGCAACATAATTCCGCTGGTGACTTCAGTAGAAAATAATCAATTTTTTGCTGGAAAATAAGGATAATTTATTCATCCTTAATCATGCAAAGGTTTTAAGCTTACCTTTGGGAATCCTACATGTCACTTTATGACTGAAGTATTCCTTTAAATCAACACAGCACAAACACAATGAACAACAAGAAATTTTTTATTGTAAACTCTGGAAAATAAAATTTTATTTTGTAGAACAATTTACTAGATTCCCGGAATAAAATTGTAAAAGTTGAATTTTTACATTTTTATCTATAAGCTTTCTGAGGATACAAAGTACAAATAATTATCTCAGTTAAATTTATTTTTAGAACTATTTTTTATTTTATTTTATGATTTACCCCTCACCACCAAACTTCGTGCTGCATCATATTTATGCATTTTTGATCTACAAGGAGGTCTGCCCCCCCCCCTCCAGCTACGTACATTGTGCATAGTGCACACAGATCGCATTCTTGATAATCAAATATCTGCACGGTTTAAGAGCTAATGCTTTGTTCATTTCTAGAAATAACATGAAAATAACATGAAAATAACATGAAAGGAATTATTAAAACTCAGCATTCTCAATATTTTTTTTTTACTGTTTTCAATAGGAATGTGGTGTCAACAAATTTAATTTGAATAATCTAACTGATGCTTAAAACTTGATTCGTTTTTCTAGAACTTTGAAGCTTTTGGACTTTTGGCACCATGCAATAAACGTGAACATGAATTTAATTATCCATTACTATGTCAATTTTTCTTCTTCTTTTCTATTTCTCTTATTTCTCTTATTTCACTTCTTTCTCTTCTTTCTCTTCTTTCTCTTATTTCTTTTATTTTTCTTATTTCTTGGATTTCTCTTATTTCTCTTATTTCTCTTATTTCTTGTATTTCTCTTATTTCTCTTATTTCTCTTATTTCTCTTATTTCTCTTATTTCTCTTATTTCTCTTATTTCTCTTATTTCTCTTGTTTCTCTTATTTCTCTTATTCTCTTATTTCTTAGTTTTATTTTTTTAAATATTTTTCTTGATATGTAGATTCACATAGAAAGATAAATTGCAGAAAAACAGAAAGAAAGCAAGATAAAAAATATTATTTTTTATGTAATATGTATACATTTACATAAACAATGACTATGAAGTATGAACACAATATACACTATACTTGGTTCCTAAAAATATGCGGAGAAATGAACGGGAAACTTTAAAAAGCAAAAGTGAACAATCCTAGTTTCGATTTTTTGGTTTTGGGTTTACTTCAAATATTTCTTAAGTTAATTTGTCTTGGTAATGAAATTATGCTTGGAGAGATCCCCGAAATTAAGCTTAAATCGAAATCCTCTCTTAAGCTGTAAAGTTACACTTATTATTATTTTTTTGAGCCGGGTTTTGAAAACTAATAAAATCTACAGTTTCCAACTCTAAAGTTTGAAGAAGCTGGAGAATCTGCGGAAAGGGATAACTTAAACAAAATTATAATATTCAGATTTCACAATTCTACAACTTTTGTATACTATTTTCATATTTAACCGGGAGAGAGGGAAGGGGGGGGGGGGTTCTCGGTTAGGGGTCCTCACTCCTCATGGGGGTGTATTAGGGTGGGTAGATAGGAAAGCAATTTGCTTCAAGTGTTATGAGTAAGTCTACAGTATAATAAGTGAATAGATTTAAATAGTATTACCACATGGATACTATCAGTCTTTTCTAGCTTTTTTGAAGTTAGAATAAAATCTTTGTCTTGTTTTAAAAAATGATTTTAGCTGTTGCAGAAGCTAATCTAAAACATCTCGGAGAAAAGAGAAAGGGTTCACTTTGAACTCATAAATCATAAAGAACTTTGTCTTTGTCAAATTTTCTAATATCTTGGCAACCTGATGGTCTAAACGTTAATCTCAAATTTTCTAATCCCTGTGTATATCTTTGCAACCTGATGGTGTAAACGTTGATATTTCTAACTTTTGATTATTTAATCTAATAGAATTCATAGTTTGAAATATTTGAGGTCTGGTTGCAAAGATATAGGGATTAGAAAATCTGAATTTGTGACAAAACTCAATTTCTTTAAAAAACAATTTGAGCTAAATTTGATGTATCTAAATATATTCTTATGTCCGCGATTAGTTTTGTGAGCTTGAGATTGAAATCAATAAATGTCTAATGTGATGGTTCAGATCGAATACCTAGGAATTCAACCTTTTTCATCGAGAACAATGTGTCGTTAAAAGTGCAATGAATTCCCTCCTAAAACTAAATTTGATCTCGGAAAGAGAAAAAAAGAAATTTTCTTTTCAAGCGAATGAAATTTGAAAGTTAAAGGGACTGTAAGCGAAATTTCAATTAAAAGAGGGACCGATTCACAACGGTACTTAATCTTATCAATAATGTGGAAGATTTTTCGATTTTTTATGTTTTTTAAAAAGTGTTAAATTCTCTTAACTTTTTCCTTGCTTTTGGGGGTAGAAATGCGCAAATTAATATTGAGGAAAGCCCTCAAATGAAAATAATAAGTTTTTAAAAGCCAAACCATGTATATCTAATTAAACTCGGCCTTAGAATATATATATTTATATTATATATAAATATATATATATATATGTATACAATATATAAAAATAGAATCAAACTAACTTACAAAGGAATTGAGTTTTTGCCACAAATCCTAATTTTCGAATCCCTATATCTCTGCAACATGGTAGTGTAGTCCATTTGATATTTCAATCTTAGATTATGTAATCTAAGATTTAATTGATAGTTTGAAATATCTAAGGTCTACTACATAAAGGCTGTTAAGATATATGGATTAAAAAATCAGAATTTGTGACAAAGACTCAACTCTTTTAACAAATCTCATGTTTATAATGTAGTTTACACAGAACTAATCACTAAAAATATACACAGTGTACTGCATGTAAACAATAACATACCAGTACATTTGGTGTTAATGATGATTCAAACCTCATAGGGTTAATAAAGTAGATGTTAGTTCCACATTTTGTTGAAAATGTATTTTGGTCTGGGGGGACCCTGGTCCGTTAAAACGATATAATAACCATCAAAATCAATAATAAAAAATGTAAAAAAATCACAAGAAAATAAACAAACAAACAAAATTTTTAAATATGGTTGTCAGAAGGAAAAAGAACTAAAAGTTCCCCGCTCACGATAAATGAAAACAACTTTTAATTCATTTTGTTTCAGAGTGAACATCTTGCGGAGAAGAAGGGAGGACAGGAGAAGGGTAAAGGAGGTGGAGAAAAGGTGAAAGGAGGAGGGAAAGGGGAAGGAGGAGGAGGAGGAGGGAGGAATAAACGAAAAGGAGGTTCTGAAAAGAATGAAGTTGAGGAGAAAGGAAAGGATGGGATGGAGTGTCTGTGGGTTGGATGCAAGGAATATCATCAAGAAAATATAAAATAAAACATGGAGTAAAATGAACTGAACACTTGCCACAAATTCGAATTTTTTATACCACTGCATCCAGTGCTTAGGATCCATTTAATTTTGATGTGGATCCGGATTCGGATATCCTGGATCCGCACTGGAAAAAAATGGATCCGGATCCAAATCAGGATCCGGATCCGGATCCAGGTCATTTCTTAAAGCTTTACAGAATTTTTTTAACAAAAAATAATTTTTCAAATTTTTGTTTTATTTTTTTTCGCTTATTTTTATCCTAAAGCTTGATGAACCATTCAGAAACGAGGAACTTTTTATAATTCTCTTTTTTATCTAAAGTTCAGATACAGGTTTTAGGAGTAGATAAGTTTTTTTGCAGTTTTTTGTTGATATTTTACCCCTTGGATCCGGATCCAGGAAGTCAAAATCTTCCGGATCCGGATACTAAGCACTGTCTGCATCTATGAAACCTGATTGTGTAAACTTTGATATTTCAAACTTGACTGTTTGATCTAGCGAAATTCTACGAAATCAGGTTGCAAAGATGTAGCGGTGAGAAAAGTAGAATTTGTGACAAGTGCTCACTTCCTTTATATCATTAAGCAAAATAATAACAACATTTAGTGCGTAAATGAGTACATTGATTTGATTAATTTCTTCAGATAATTTTAAAGTTTTGAAAGCTTTAAATAAAATCTTTTTTCCTCATGAAACCCTTATTTCTACAATTGATGTAAATATGTGGATAGGTTTACGGTGCCAAATCCTCTGCTAAGGATTGGTTAAAGAAACATATTACTTCACATATTGGGAGCAAACCTTTCCGATGTATCCTGGACTCTTGTAGGATGAAATTCTCCTCTCAGGTACTAGTTATATACAGTAGGATAAGAGGAAACCTTTCCGATGTATCCTGGGCTCTTGTAGGATGAAATTCTCCTCTCAGGTACTAGTTATATACAGTAGGATAGGAGGAAACCTTTCCGATGTATCCTGGACTCTTGTAGGATGAAATTCTCCTCTCAGGTACTAGTTATATACAGTAGGATAGGAGGAAACCTTTCCGATGTATCCTGGACTCTTTTAGGATGAAATTCTCCTCTCAGGTACTAGTTATATACAGTAGGATAGGAGCAAACCTTTCCGATGTATCCTGGACTCTTGTAGGATGAAATTCTCCTCTCAGGTACTAGTTATATACAGTAGGATAGTAGGATAGAGCAAACCTTTCCGATGTATCCTAGCCTTTTGTAGGATGAAATTATCTTCTCAGGTACTAGTTATATACAAGAGGACAGTAGAATAGGAGCAAACCTTTCCTAAACATAGGTATACAAAATTAGGTTTTAAAGGTTATGTTTAGAGTAAAGCTTTACACAAGTAGAGTTTGCATAGTATAAAAGAAAACTGTTGAAAGTTATGATTTAAGTTGCTTGAAAGTTTCAATGTTTTCCTGCATAAAACTCATCACTGGTTTATTATTTTATTTTACTGCTGAAGTTTCTCTATTCCATTACATCGAAGGACTAGACTTTGTTTGAATACCAAGCATATAAAGTTTAAATCAATTAGAAAATGTAGGAACACGGAATAAAAATTCATTTAGTTTTTAGTTGCCAATAATAAGGAAGAGTTTGATTGAAAATCAATTTAACGCAAGTCTCGTAATAATTCATTGTCTTTCTTCTTTTAAAACTTATTTTTTTTTAGATCTCTCTTTCTCGCCATGTAAACTCACATTTTAAACCTCCCCAAACTCCCGCCGGTGGAGCCGCCTGTCGGAGAAGTTTGGAATCAACGCCTATCAAATTTTACATCAGAAAAACCCGGAGAAAAGCCCGACTCCGTCCAACACCACTGGTCAACAACATCGACTTGTTCGACGTCGGAACTATGGCGGGGGTCAAGGATGGGTTGTCGAAGGTGAAGAGGAAGTCAAGAAACTGCCTCAACCACGACGAGATAAAGTTCGACGGAAGTGGATCCTGCGTCGTTTTTACAGGACGAGTAATCGGCCGAAAGTTGGACGGAGAAGGAAGTATAGATCTCTTGGTAGAATGGCATCCACTAGGCTTGTAAGTATCCTGTATCTATAGTATTGGTGACATTGGGGTATTTTCCAAATAGAATAGAATATATATTAGAGGGGAATTTAGAGAATCTCTCATGACAATTTAATATTTTCTTGACAATTAGTATTTTCTTTGCAATTTAGTATTTTCTTGAAAAATTTGTATTTTCTTGACAATTTAATATTTTCTTTACAATTTAGTATTTTCTTGACAATTAGTATTTTCTTGAAAAATTTGTATTTTCTTGACAATTTAATATTTTCTTTACAGTTTAGTTTTTTAATTCGCCTCCAATTTTCCTCTAATCTTTTTTTGAAGTCGTTTGTAAAACTGGTCTCTTTGGATCCTAATTTTTCATACCTATATATCCAGAATTCTCGTCCTGTATAAATTCATCCCAAGAAAACACTTTTCAGGAATTGATATTGGAGAAAGATTAGACAGCTCTTTATTTCCAGGTTGGGAGAAGAATGGGTTCCTGAGCAGAATTTTAGATCCCGTCGGAAGGTTTTGATCAATCAGCTTTCTCCACCTGCCAGAGAGAAGATAGAAGATTATATATTCGGGAAGAAGGAAATAAGAAAATCTCCGAGGAAAGCTCTTCCATCCCCAGGACCAAGGAGATTAACATGATCAGGAGATTGCAATGGATATGTGTTCTATCATGGAAAAAGTTGCAATCAGAAAATTTTAGTTACTCAACTATCTATCTAAATTTTTGAATACAAGATACTTACAAAATAAAATGTAAAATTCACAAAGAAACTGAATTTTTACAGTTAGGAGTCAACTTAAAGACTTTTTCTAGCTCATTTCATTTTTCAACTTAATTTACAAATATGATCCTTAAAACATTATAACAAAATAAATCTAGTCCAAAATGTGGTCTGCCTTTATAGTGCTCTCAAAATTAGCACAGATGTGACAAATTTTAATTTATTAAATAAATTAAACCAAAATTGTTTAATTCTGATCGAATTCATTAGTATTTTTTAATTAAGAAAGGGAAAACCACATTTTGAAAATGGCAGAAAAGGCTATTTTGTGACTCATATTTGTAATATTAGATTGACATATGAATGAAGGAAAATATTTTTACGAACAGAGACGATTTTATACTCGTCTCACAATTCAAAAAATTCAGTTTTTTTATGACACCGTATGACTGCAACTTCGATGTTGATTTAATTTCACGGTTATCAATTCTTGAATTAAATTTCAAACTAAGTTTTAATCCTACAGATGCAATTTTATCCTGAAAAATGCAAATAAATTAGGCCAAGGAGTAAATATGACATAGACTTACTGCCTAATATTGTATTGTTCCAAAATCATAGTAGAGAATAATTTTTTGGCTTAGTTGAGAATCACTAAAACATTTGATAAATACTTTTATTATTTGATGCATAAAATGTGTTTAACAATCTTAATTCATTCCCTGTTAATTTTCTAGTTTAATTCCGTTTTAATATTTTATTTTGACGATGATTTATACGTTTACACTAACTAACAACAAGGTTTTAAAAATACGTCTTTTTTATGAAAGTTGTGCTCGCCATTAATGATAGAAAATAGTACTTTAACCTCTATTTACTGACGAAGTTGCCAGGATGCCAAAAATATTTTGCTTTGACTTTTTTACCGCTGAATTTTCTAGAAATTTTACCCCCCAAGCCTCGTTAATTTTAGAGTATTGTTCGCTTTACATGTTTTTTTTGTTATAAATGGTTAACGTGTTTTTTGCTGTAAATCAAAATTATAAAAGTAACGTCAAAGTGCTAATTTTTCCTTTGAAATAACTTTTTTATTCAATACTTCCAAAATATATGCATTATCCTAAAACAATTTTAGGCAAGGTTAACCCTTTAAGTTGCAAGTTATATGTTCTAGAAATGTTTTAACTAATATTATCGTATTACGTAACCAATGTATCAGTCTATCAGACTAAAAAGAACCTAAAAAGTACTTACTCTCCGATCACAGTTGTGCAGTTATGTAATATGTTTGCAAGCAAACTGTTGAGATTTTTAACCGGTTTTAATAACACTAATGTCAGTTTAGGGGGATGAATTTTTAATCAAAAAAATAATGGTGGTGTTGCATACAATTAAAACGTTTGGGATATGAACGGAAATGAAAATGCTTTAAAAAATATTTGAGAAAATCCCTTTGAACTTTGTTTCCTAACTAAATGACTTAAAAAGAACTGTCGAACTGCCAACTCCAGAAAAGTTTAAATTTAACTGTTCACTGCCAACTATAGTAAATCTGCAGAACAAAGCCAGGAAATAACTTTATTCTGCATTAAATGAGAAAGGCTGTACATAAAATAAAAATATAATTTATGCCAAAGGCATTGAGTTTTTGCCACAGACTAAAATGTTCTCATCCCTTTATCTTTGCAGCCTGATGGAGTAAACCTTTGATATTTCAAACTGAAAATACTTGAACAGAATTCATAGTTTGAAATATTAAATTTCTACAGAATCAGGTTGCAGAGATATAGGAATTAAAAAGTCAGTGTGTGGGGCAAAGACTCAATTCCTTTTCATCTTTTCTGTAAACATCATTGTTTTGTCTTTATTAATGAGAAGCTAAAATTTACATTTAATAACTAAAATTCTCACATAATTTATAAAAGGCAATAGCAAAAACATTATAATAATCTTACTCTATATGTAGACATACAGATCTGTTAGAGATAAATGATAAAAAAGTCATATCAACATAAAAATGTAAAATATAAAAAATTGTTTTTTCGCTCACCTTCTAAGATCTCTAATAGCAAAAGTTTTTAATTTAAAAAAATAGACGGACTTAAATATTTTGGTAGGAAATAAAAATGTTTTAAGTTTGTAAAATTTAGGAATTACTTGAGTACAAAACTAGTAAATATGAAATTCATCCTGTTTTTTTAGGGTTGAAGCTAATTGTTTATTTATTGTAAAAAACTGAGGTATTTAACAGCCCCGTGTTGCACCATGGGAGTTTGTTGTTTTAGAGAAAATAAATGTTATAGAATTCAGTGAATATATAGATATTTGTCTTAGTTCTTTTTTATAGTTATTTTCCCCTTATCATGAAAACAAACTGAACACTGAACCATAACTTTCTAACTTCATAATCTTTCTTTGCAACCTTTCATAATTTCAAATAATATTCGGTAAGGTCAAATAGTTTTACCTAGAAATATCAAGATTTCAGTGAAACTCGTTCACAATAACCCTGAGACAGAAGCCCAGAGGAGTTTTGCGCAGTTTCTGATAAATTAAATTTTTGACTTTTTTTAGTTAATTAATAAGTCGGAGTCAGAGGGGAGTAGATAGGTTTTTTATTATCATCGAACTAAATTTTTAGTTAATACACTTCGCACGTGCTATGTGGAAACATTCACTGAATGAACTTGCTATTTAGAGATAAATTATACCCTTATGGACATGTTAAATTAGAAATACTCTTGAAGAAGTTTGGTTTTGGCAGCGGAACTACAGTGTTTAATGTATTTTCAATATTATAAATAATTCCTTGTTTTTTAATCAGGCGTCTTTTTCTATCTTTGTAAACTTTTATAGGCTTTCCATTTTAAACATTTCTTTTTATTTTTTACTTGACAAAACTGGGTCTAAAAATCAGACTATGAGTCAGTGGATTTAAGTAAAAATGTGCAAACTTTTAAAATAGAAAAAAACCATTTTCGTCAGGTAGTTATAGATAGAGCTTAAAGTATATAATACTGCCTTATAGCTAATAGGTAGCGAAGGGGGACAGGCAAGAGTCATATAATGGAGAAAAGCCTCGTTTTTACTTTTCAAAACCCCAGATCACCCCTCCTCCCCCCCCCTCGAACCTTGTGTACGCGCCTGTTTCCTATTTCAGCTATGACGCCCATTTTATACTTTTAACTTAACAAATTGTGATTCATTAAATTACGGAAACCTGGGTGCCCTTACAACAAGCTTATAGAGAACTTGAAACGAGCGTTAAGTAAAATGAACGGTGATAATTCTCCTGAGGCAAAACACCCCCTCCCCTCCCCCACCTCCTCAGCTTAAACAACAGGTCAAATTCCGAGAAACTTGGATCGTCTTTGCTAGAAGACTTGAACGGGTTGGTGTAGGCATCGTAACATTACCATTCTATATTTATAAACTCGTCCATTCCATTTTATAGATTTCTATTTGTGTCAAAGGATTCAAGATTTATTTAATTTTGTTTCCCGGATTTGTATTTACCCCTGATTACACTGGTTTGTCCGTGGAACTACCTGTCCGACCTAAACTAAATATTCATCACAAATTTAAAATTAAAAATAACAACTCACATAAACGAAATTTTTTTATTAAAAATAAATTCAAAAATATATTTTGTTTAATTAACCCTGAAGGATTCGGGGCGAACACAAAATGACGTTTTCTCATCAGTTTAGAATAGAGAAGCGGAGTGGAAGGGAGTGAATGTGAAAGTTAAAACATGTTTAGATTGAAGTGATCATGTGGGTTTGGAATTAGATTATCAGAATCAAACTAATTTGTTTTATTGGTGAATAATGGTTTCCGTTTTATCATGATGTTTTGTAAGTGTTCTTAAGTTTTAATATATAATTGAGTTTTTTTTTAAAAATAATTATTATTTTATTATAAATATATAGTAGACTTAATATTTGTACATAATCGAGAATTTTCAAGAAATGGTGTTATTTATTAAAATATTTAAATGTTTACCCAAAATTCAATATTGGCAATTTGGCATGGTTGGTTCACCAAACAGCCAAGATAGATTAACAAACTTTGTATGGCTAAGCAAACGGGTATGTCCTAGAGAATGATTTTTAAACCCCCCTCCGCCCCCCCCCCCAAAGTGAACTCACATGTTTGACATTTGCATTACTTTTTTTCACTGCAGTATGTACTGTTTCAGAACATTTATAAAACGTTGAAGTACAATTGCATTCTATAAAAAAATAGCATTCTAAGCAATTGCATATACATTTTCTACAATAGCAGCACACTCAATACTGTATCTTTACACTATACTGTAACAGTACACTCAATAATATAATAGTACACTCGATACTGTATCTTTACACTCTATACTGTAACAGTACACTCAATAATACAATAGTACACTCAATACTGGTGCAGTTCACTCAATACTGTAACAGGCCACTCTATACTGTTAGAGTACACTCTATACTGTTAGACTACACTCTATACTGTTAGAGTACACTCTATACTGTTAGAGTACACTCTATAGTGTTACAGTACACGCTATAATGTTACAGTACACTCATTACTGTTACAGTACCCACTTTAATGTTACAGTACACTATTCTGTTACAGTACAATCTGTACTGTTACAGTACACTCTATACTAGAGATGTCAACGATAGTGTAACGTAACGTAAAATGTACGTTTTTGTACGTTACGTTACAATAATGTGTAACGTTTGGATATATTCTATGTAACGTGAACGTTAAACGTTAACGTTATAGGAGCTCATACCTAACGTTAACGTTAAACGTTAACGTTAGAGGAATATACCCCCAACGTTAGCGTTTTGTGGAAATGTAACGTTATTTTTCTAATATCTACAACTTGTTTGACCATAACGTAAAGAAATGTTTTATTTCCATGGGGAGCTTGAAAGTCTAACGTTGGAAAAATGAATTGTGATTTGATTGAATATCGTAACGAAAAGATTTTTATTTCAAAGTTCAACTTATAAAAAGTGTAACGTTGTATAACTGAAAAATGAATTACTGTTTATGAAAATGTTTTCAAACGTTTTCCTTTATAGTATAATGAAAACTTCAACGTTGCAGAGATGGGTTATTATTTTAATAATCAGTAAACGAAAGTTTTTTTTACAGAGTAAAATTTCAATAATGTGACGTAAAACATTTAAAAAAATGTAATTCTGTAAATCATAATGTTTCATAACTTTTCTCTGAATTCTAAATTGATTAGTCTAACGTTAGATATATGTCTGCTGAAAATGTTGTTCATAAAACGTTAGACTATGAGGGCTGAGTTTTAATTTCAAAAGTGTAACAATAATTCTGTCAATCAAAACATTTCAAAACGTCTCTAATATATCAATGTAAGAGATTCGACTGATGATTATAAGAGCAAAGACTTATGG